TCGTCTTTTTGATGATCCATTTTAGTTACCGATTAGTCAGCTCGGCTTGACCATTTGTTTGGGAATGGTAAGCCACCGACACCTTGTGCCTAACATCATAACGAGAGAGGAGTTTAGTGAATTGCCCTTGAAAATGAGTTCCTCTACCGCTAATGATGGCTTGAGGTGTCCCAAACCGGGAAAAGAGTTGCTTCAGAAATGAGCAGACACGTCTTGCGTCATTGGTGGGCATGGCTTGAGCTTCTGCCCACCTCGAGATGTAGTCCACAGCAACCAGGATATAGAGATTACCGAATGAAGAAGGGAAGGGACCCATGAAGTGGATGCCCCAGACATAAAAAATCTCACAAGACAAAAACGTCTTCCTGCCCAAGGACATCATACAAAAATGTTCGAGAATTTGCTATCTTGTTCACAAGTATGCAAGTCAAATCGAGCAGACACCAACAGTGCACTCCTTGCTCGATCTCCAACAATAGAAAAAGAGAGTCTCCACCACTTCATGACACGATTATTTGGAAGATACTATGTTCCTTCTTATATAGATGGAGCTTATGCAGCTTTCTAACTCCATTGAGGAGGATATATGTGTGTTATTTCCTTTTTAGGTGCACCAATTCAATGCTTTGGGAAGCACCATCGACGGTTAAGGGGGTTGAGTCCAACAGCTTTCTTTCTTGACAAAGTGAAAGTGTCTTACAGCTTACGCTTGACTCTTTATTCGAGTGTCGGGCGCATGGATCACAGGTCCCCGTGAGAGGCAATGTCCCCTACACATCTCTCAAAAATTTCATGCTTACACAAATGGAGCTTATATAAGTTGCTTCCTTCGTTGTGGATAAGCTAGGAACGTTATTTCCTTTTCGGGAGTGTCGACGCAATGCTTTGGAGAGCGCCACCAATGGTTAAGGATGTTGAACCCAACCGGGTTCTTTCCCTCCAAAGCGCCAAACGTCTTACAGGTTACACTCGACTCTTTAGTCGAGTGTCAGTAATCTGGATCATAGGTCCCTTTGAGAGGCGATGTCCTCAACGCATCCCTTGAAATTTCCCTAGTTAGACAGATGGAGCTCATATAGTTTGATTCATCTTTTGACGAGGAGCTAGGCATATTATTTCCTTTTTAGGAGTGCCGGTGCAATGCTTTTGAGACGTCGCCAATGGTTAAGTGGTGAACCCAACCGCTTTCTTCCCGCCAAAGTGGAAGACTTTAGAGCTTGCGCTCGAATATAGTCGAGTTTTGGGTGCCTGGATATAGGTCCCTATGAGAGGCGAGGTCACCAATACATCCCTCAAAATTTTAATGCTTAGACAGATTGAGCTCATATATCTCCCTTTCTTCATTGAGGAGAAGCTAGGTGCATTATTTACTTTTCATAAGAGACGGTGCAATCCTTTGAAGAGCTCCACCAATGGTCAAGGGTATTGAACCTAACCTCTTTCTTTTCTGCCAAAGTGGAAGAACTTAAAGCTTACGTCTGGAACACAGATCCCCGTGAGAGGCAATGTCCCCGATAGATGCCTCAAAATTTCCATGCTTAAACAGATGGACATTATATAGGCTGCTTCACCCGTTGAGGAAAAGCCAGACACGTTAGCCGGTTCAATGCTTCTAAGGAGAATCACCAACGCTTAAGGGTGTTTAACCCAATTGCTTTCCTACCCACTAAGGTGATATGAGTCAGAGCTAACGCTCGACTTTTCAGTTGAGTTTCAAGTTGCTAGTTCACCAAGAGTCACTAGACTATTGCATTACCAAGTTCCAAATTTTAGGTTCTTCAATGATGGTGTTAGGCGCGCACAAGCTGTCAGGGCAATGCCTCTTTGAAGATTCAAAATCTCTTAAGTTAAAAAAGGTGCCAGACACTCATACTTTGAAATTCAAGCTATATAAAAGGTGACAATCGCTCCATCCTGCAAAAATACAAGGTATCAAAATATAAGTTAGAAGGAGTCAGGTGCTCACACTTTTAATTTTATGGCATGTCAATGGCAGAAGTCAGACACTCTCGCTTTGAAGTTGTAAAAATATCGAGAAAAAATAGAAAATAGTTTCCCACAGGCTAAGCATGAAGAACATGATGAGCTTCACGGACGAGTGCCTACAGCACAAAGTGAAGGATTAAAAAGTTTCAAACCCTCGATCAAAGAGCTTATCAAGGTGCATACCTCTCGGCCAAAGTGGCCAATTACTCTCGGATTGCCAATTATTGTTGAAAGAAAAATCCCTAGGCTCCTAACAGCTTGAAAGAGAGGTGCTAGGGGCCTAAAAACTTGAAAGAAAGGTGTTTATGCACCTGACAGGTTGAAAGAGTCCGTCAGCTTTAAATAGAGGTGCTTAGGTGCCCGAAATCTAGAAAGAGAAGTTCTTAAGAACCCGAAAGCTTATAAAGGAGATGCCTAGGTTTCTGGCATCTTGAAAGGAATATGCTAGGCACATCAAAAATTGAAAGAGAGGTGCCTAGGTACCTTATATCTTGAAAAGGAGGAGCCTAAGCGTCTCACAGGTTGAAAGTGTTCGTCATCTTGAAAGGAACATGTCAGGCGCCTCAAAATTTGAAAAAGAGGTTCCTAGGTGCCTTGCATCATGAAAAGGAGGAGGAGGTACCTAACAACTAGAAATAGTTTTTCAGCTTGAAATGAGGTAGCTTGGAGGAGTCTGTCAACTTGAAAGGGAGGTGTTAGGCGCATGAAACTTGAATGAAAGGTGTCAAGGCTCCTAACAGCTCGAAAGAGTCTGTCAGCTTGAAATGGAGGTGCTTAGGTGCCTGCAAATTGGAAAGAGAGGTGCATATGCACCTAATAGTTTGAAAATGATGTGCTTAGGCTCTTGGCATCTTGAAATAGTTTGTTAGCTTGAAAGGGAGTTGCTAAGAGCCTAAAAACTTGAAGAGTGCCGGTAATTGAAAAAATTGAATGAGGAAATTGAAAAGAGAATGCACAATCGGATCAGGCGCTCGTTCAATTGATAAAAAAATACGACAAGGGAAGAGTTCAAACGCTCAAAGGTTAGTGGTTCAAAGCAAAGGGAACTCACCACATTCAAAAGAATGGGTAGGAGCGAGGGAAAAAGCGCATTCACTTACTAGATGTGGTGCTAGTATGAGTCGAAACAAAGGAAGGAGACCGATCGAGCACTTAGCATGGGAACTCGACAAGAAGGGTGAAGAGATGAACAGAGGGACAACTCACATTCTTATTTGAAGCCGTCGACACTCGTGTTTGGAGTGAAGAAAAAGGAGGCGATTAAACCACTTCAACCAAAAATGATTATGAGTAGAGAAGTGCCTGACTTCTAAAAACGAGGACGAAAAAACCCTAATGGGCCGAATCCCAGCCATTGAACCCGAAAAGAAGCCTAAGTTATAATGCTCTCTTTTTGTTTGAGCCCTCAACCGAAGACGAGAAACAAAACGCCTAGGCGCCTTAAAGAAACGTAGCGCTTAGGAATAAAAGCAGAAGAAAGAGCTCGCACTTGGTATAAAAAAGTGAAGTTAGTTGAAGTTTTTCCTGAAATTGACCTATAATTTGCCTATAACAACACAACGACAAGCGAAAGCAAGAGAAATGCAGAGGGAGGAGTCTACTCAGTTGATGCCACCATAATACTAATGTCATCCTCAAACGGGCAATTGATAAGGTATGAGGCCAAGACTTGATACTTAAAAAAGGTTCGCAACAGCGTGCAAGAGAAGCCAAAACATAGAGCAAGACACTAACCATTGACATCATCAAAAGAAGAGGCAAAGGAGCCTAAGAAGAGGACAAAGTCAATAGGCAGCCTACAAATCCGACATCTTCAAATGAGAGGTGAGGGGAACACTCTACACCATCATACACCTTCTGACAAGAGTACAATGTATAAAGACAGAGAGCATCAAATACCCGACCACAACATTTATGGCTTGGCAGGTGCCTTGACCACGTACCTAACAACCAAGCTTGTAGAAATAGGACTTCTCTCGTTATAAACAACAAGCTATCTACATTCACTACAATTTATTTCGTATCATGTCGTGCTTACACGACCCACTTATAGACTGTGTCGTGCCCACGCTCATGAAATTTAAATCAAATACGTCAAATAAATAACTCATATTCGTGCTGGGATGACACATATATTTTCGTATTCATGCTCATACCGTGCTCTACTCATATCTGCTAGTCCTTGACCGGCCTGACCTGATTCCAGGTACACCTCGACCACATAAGAATCTATGTAAATTGTAAAGTAGATTTAACTCTGAAGAACCGGTTCAAGGAGAAAGAATTAAAGTCCAGCCCAAGTCATTTTCTTTCTATACAAGGACAGGGAAAAATTGATGACCACACTCTCTTCCCACTTCTTCTTCTTCTTCTTCTTCTTATCTCTTTTTCTTTTTTCCCCCCTTTCTTCTTTTCCTTTCTCTTGTCCTGTTGTTTTAATCTCATCACCTCAATTCCAATCTGTTCTTTCATCTTTAAACTGGCTCCTAATCGTTCCCACAAAAGACAAAACAACAAGCTCCCAGATCCCCCTCTCCCTCCTTAGAAATCCTCCACAGTAGAGGGATTAGATGGGCAGAACAGAATCCGCTGCCAAGATTTCTCCCAACAAAGCAAGGGCTAGTTAGAGAGAGAGAGTCAGAGAGAGAAGCAGAACATGGTGAGCTCTAGCTGATGAAGGAAGGAGACGGAAAAGGGAGAGAGAGATGGAATTTGATGAGCACAAAGACGACGTTGAAGAGGAAGAAGAAGAAGAAATGGTGACGGCAACTGCCAAGACTACTAGCTCTTCCGGCGGGGGAGGACGAGAAGGCGATGGGTCCGGAGGAATTAAATCGAGAAATAGTCCATCAGCAGCTGCACCGGCGAGATACAGAGAGTGCCTGAAGAATCACGCGGTCGGGATTGGGGGCCACGCCGTGGACGGGTGTGGCGAATTCATGGCGGCGGGGGAGGAAGGCAGCCTCGACGCGCTGAAATGCGCCGCCTGCAACTGCCACCGGAATTTCCACCGCAAGGAAACAGCCGATGGAGCTGGGGAAGCGATGATTCCGCAACCGCACCAGCAACATCCGCCGCCGCCTCCCCAATTCTCGCCGTACAACTACCGCGGCACCGGCCCACCGCCGCCTCACCTCCACCGGACCGCACCGCCTCCGCATCGGCCGCTGGCTCTCCCCGCGGCGGGCGGCCGGGGAGGGTACAGCAGGGAAGACGAGGACGTGTCGAATCCGAGCAGCAGCGGCGGAGGAGGGGGGGCGAATAATAATAGTAGCGGTAAGAAGAGGTTCAGGACGAAGTTCACGGCGGAGCAGAAGGAGATGATGAGGAGATTCTCGGAGAGGATTGGGTGGCGGATCCAGAAGCAGGACGAAGGAGCGGTGGAGCGATTCTGCGCGGAGACGGGAGTCCGGCGGAAAGTTCTCAAGGTTTGGATGCACAATAACAAGCACACTCTCGGTAAGGAGACCTCATAACAACAATAGTAATGATAAATAATAGTTTTTTTTTCTTCTTCTCCTAAATGATGAGGATTAAGTGCTCTAATCATCATTATGATCTACTGATTATCGAGGAGATGGTTTGTTTAATTCTCTTGTGTTAACTATATATAGATACGGGTGTTGTAATGTATGATTAGTGGGGAGATTAGCTAGGGTTTATGTATCTTAATTACTGCCGTTGCTTATTACTATTAGAGTCTCTTCTCTTCCCGTCTTTTGTTTATTTATTTTATTTTTCAAAATGTTGTAAAATGGTGCTAATGTTTTTGGTCATTGATAGATGGCATTGTAGGTAAGTAGTCTGGTTCCAGTTTGTCAGAGATGGAAGAGATAAGGAGGGATGGGTCGGAGAGTGGGGAGCTGTTGCTCAATTAATATAAGAGTAATTATTTTTTCCAATGTGGAAAGGGGAAAATTTTCCAGCTATTAACCAAAAAAAGATAATTCCTCCATAGAACTTTTTTTAGATCGATGGATGCGGGTCAGCGGGTGATTAGTTTGGGTAAGCAAAGGAAAGAAGAAGGAGAGGCAGCAGCAGCAGCAGCAGATTCAAGATGGGCGAGATGATGAAAACGTGGTTAGCATGCAGCAAAGGAAAGCAAAGCAATGGTTTGCTGTCACCTTGTCCTTCTTTTACTCTCTCCTTCCTTTGCTTACTTCTGAGCGCTTTGCCTCTAATACGTGACTACAGCTCTAGCTACCATCATCCTAACACTTATCCCTTTCTTCACTTCATTTGTCCTCTTCCTCTCTCTCTCTCTCTGCGCATTAACTATTCAATTCAGACCTAGTTAGGTGGTGTTATTTTCGGGAATTGATAAAGGTCGTCCTTAAAATTACTATCGATCGTCCTAAAACATAACAAAATTACATTTTTAACCTTTTGGCATTTTTAGTAAACAAACATCACTTTAAGTAAAAAAAGATGAAAAACACTCAATTTCCCACACTCTCGAATTCATCGTTGACATTCTTGAGTGGTAATTGTTGAGAATATGTCCGAATCATGAGTAAAAACTCCGACGAGGTAATCGTTGACATCTGATTTTTTTTTCAAAAAAAATTTCAAAACCCCTCAACCGAAGCCAATTTTCGGTTGTACCATGGCTCAACCTAAGGCAATTTTCGGTTGTACCATGGACCAATCGAAAATCATCTTTGGTTGTACCATGGCTTAACCTAAGGCAATTTTCGGTTGTACCATGGACCAACCGAAAATCACCTTCGGTTGCACCATGGCTCAACCGAAGACTATTTTCGGTTGCACCATGGCTCAACCGAAAATTGCCTTAGGTTGAGCCATGGTACAACCAAAAATTGGCTTCGGTTGAGGGGTTTTTGGTTTTTTTGAATTTGTTTGGTTTATATCAATAATTTTCTATTCTTTTACTACGATTTATGGTTCGGTCCATAAGATAATTTGTTGGATTTTGGTTTATATTTTTTTAGATTTATGGAAGGGGAGGGGTTGTTTGTTTTGTGTTTGATTTTGAAATTCAAAATGGGCAATTTGGTAAATTACATATTAAGTTAGGACGATGGTTAGTAATTTTTAGGACGACCTTTAACCATTCAGTTATTTTCTACTTCTGCATATCTCAACAACTGCAAGAGTAGAAAAGCAAAAATCATAGAGAGAATTAAAAGTTCTGCCAGGACCCTAATTTTTCCCGTAACAGGGTAGAAGTGCATATAAATTATGGGGTCGTTTGGAAGTTGCGAATGTTAAATCGTTGCATTATAATGAATCACCATAATATAAATGCATTTATTGATACAATGGATGCATTTTAATTTAGATTCTAATTTATGCATTGATTTACGTAAAGTTATTTTTATGAAAAAATGTCATATTTACCATTAACTTTTAGTATAAGACAAAAACTATTACAGATATAAATGAAAAGAAAAAGTTAACACAAATCTAAAAGCAACAATTACAACAATCTCAATTTTTAGTTGAGATTGTATAATGCATCATTTTTTGTGATTGTTGGTGGGATCTATCTAAAACAATGCCTTTACACTTTGACACTTTCATACATGTATTCAACAAACACAACTCTAACCATTACAACTTCCAAATCCACTCTATAAACTATAAAGAACCCAACAATAATATATATGGGTAGATGTGTGTGTTGGAGAAAGGCGAACAATGGAATTTTTGTAGGACTTTGATCATACAAGCCAAGGCAAGGGCCTAGGGGTATATATAACATCATATCAAATAATAATATAAGATTGGGAGGGAAGTAGGTGGCTAGCGGAGCCTGGGGCTGTGTAGGGTTTGTGTTGGGTTGGAAGAGGAAGGAATTGAAACTGTCGGGCCCAGAAATAACAAATGAAACATAAAATCATTGCTTCTTTGAGCCTTGCATCCTTTTCCATTCATTAATTTTGTGTTTCTACTCTAATTATAAAACAAAATGCTGTCAGCAAGGAAAGAAGAGGGAGATTATGGCAATAAAACTCGAACACACGGGTACCCAATCCGGTCAATGCGAGTTTTATCCGTATTGACGAGTTTTGAGCCGGGTTCGGGTTTAAACACGTTTACTATTCACCGAATTGGGTTGGATTTGGATTTAGGTAAACCCGCTCCATGGGTACCCGCTCAACTTATATAATTAATTTTCTTGATATATTTAATATTCTAAACAACTAATCTTCTTTATGTTTGTGGAGACAGGTTTAATTCTTTCTTTCTAATTGTGTAGAATGAAATTGATATTATCGATGGAGAGTGAAGAAGTTTAATTGTCAATGAGGAAGAAGCTTTCAATTAATCATGTTGTTTATGGATAATTTGTTATTTGCTTCAATTTCTTGAGTTTTCTACATTGGAATAGGACCATTTGTATGGTTAATTTGTGATTTACTTGAATTTTCTATAATGGTGTTTTATATATGTATAATTTGTATTGAGAGATTGATATTTGACTTTTATTTGGATAAGAACTTGTTATTGTAAATTTTTAACGACAAAAACCCATGGGTTACGGGTACTCATGAACCCGCGGATACCAGCGGGTTGGGTTGGATTTGAGTTTTTCAAATCCAGTGGGTTTTACCCCAGGTTTTTTTCACGAATAAATTCATAGGTTTGGGTTTGGATTTGGCAAAACCCGACCCATTGCCATCCCTAGAGATTAGTAGTATGGAAGGGAATGGAGGGATTCGTTACTTTGACTCAATTGTCATGGTCCATATATATAGGTAGGTATTGGGTTCGAGTCAAATGTACTTTTAATGATTTGGTTTTGGAATGGGTGTGCATTGAGCCCAATTTGCAAACCCAAATGAGTTGGTCCAAATAATTGTTCATGCAAAAACATAATATTGACAATCTCATTGACTCCCTTCAAGCCATTTACACTTTTAATATTGGTGTTTCTACTTTTCTTTTTATTTTCATAACAAAATATAAGGTAACATTTTTATTAAAATCGGGTATTCATTTGTTTTTGTATCCAATGATATGAGTTCAGTTTAGCTCCAAACAAAAAAGACATTTGAGTTCGTAAAATTTTGCGAACATAATTTGACATTTAATAAGTTAGGTTTGAGAAATATCTAAATGCGGGATCTTTTATGCAATCCTTAGAGTTGATCCGAAACTTCTTTGACCATCATCGCTAAAATTGATGGGCAATTTCTAAATATGGTCCCTACAACCACGTAATCTATTTTAGCAATTTTCACATAGCAATTTCTAGTCAAGTCATCAGGATCTCTAAAATGTGTTAGCAATTTCTAATGTGGCTCCCACTCGCTATTAAATCTATCAAACACTTTAGAAGGCATAACATAATGGTGACCTTTAAGATTGTATTTGTTTGTGCTAGCAAATCTATTGTTATTTCACAGCTTTGCTACTATATAATTGATTGATTACAGTTGCGGTCTCTGTATTTCTCTTGAGCCAATTTTTGATCGCCTTCACGACTGAGGGAAGGAATTCACATCAACGAACATGGAAGTGTCGATTGTAATCTCTTTCACGACCACTATTGCAACCGTGAATCTGGTCGTGACATGCTCGTGGACTTTTTCTTCTTGCTATGAATTGGACAAGTGCACATATAAATCCTAAACCGATCCCTCAATCAATTGATTAAGTATATGAGACCTGGACCATCATCAAAAACACTACGCAAGCATAAAACATAACCAAATAGGGTAGTCTCACCATAAGAAATTCTTAAAGTGCCATAAATCATGCTAAAGCTTATAGTATCTAACAGCTAATTCATATTATCATAAAAGAAATCAAAATGTGGTCTAAAAGCAAAAAATCAAAATGTGGCCTAAGTAAGATGATTGAAACACACAAACGCTAAAATAATGGGAGTAGAAAGTGCTTGATTTAGGGGTTATCAACTGTTCTATACCTCAATTCCTTTGCAGTTTTTACATCATTTCTTCACATCTTTGGCCATATTAACTTTGATTTTCTTAATATTTGCTCGAATGTCAAGAAAATATGTTGTCCATTCCATTAGAAAAAGTATTTCCTTACAGTTTCCCACTTGGGCTGCATAATTTGTTGAAAAAAATACTATATAGAATTCTTTAGGCGCGCAACCGTATGCTATTCATGCTTAGACATCTCCAGAAACAATATGGTCCACTTCATGTATTAATTATGTGACCAATCCAGCTTTAATAGTAATATGACAATGATTAAACTACCATGATCACCATACCGATACACTCAATGACATAGATCGAATATGAATGAGTGGCATGAAATTTACATGTAATGTGATCTTGAACATGCCTATTTTCAACTGGTCCAACTTTATTCTTTAGTGAGATCAACCAAAATTCCTTCATACAATGTGACCATTGTATAACTGAAGGCACTTTAAATTCTAAAATATACTGGAAAAACCCCATCACTTTATTCTGCATAAATTGATTTCATAACTCTTGAATATACTTGAATGACTCCCACTAAACCAAGGTACTATCCGGAATAACACTCATGCGAGCAATGTGCTCTTGGAAAAACTTTAGGTGTCAAACCTTTGGATAATGGATAAGCTAGAAGTAGCCGTGTCTGTAATGTTCAATATAAACTTCTCTATTTTGAACCTACTCTTTAACCACTAGGAGCTTTATGTAAATAACTTTTGACATTTGAATTCCTATGGTGAAGATAGTGTACCACTATCAAACATTGTAACTGTTAACCTTTAATGACTTTTCATTATCAAACGAGTGACATCATCTCAAGAAAGAACCTAAATGGAAGCCTCATAACAAGCTATTAACTCTACCCAACACAAAATGTATTATGTAGAGTTCATGTAACATTTGGCATCTTGCAACATTAGAGTCATGGTACTTGGTGATCTCTATATAGTCTTATCTTTGATAATTTTGCATGAATT